CTTAATTGCTGAGCCACCAGGCTGGACCCTATATATTATTTTATTGAACCATGAAACAGGGCTCTCAATATATGTCAACTCCTCCTACTTGAGGTTTACAAGTTTCTGGCTTTTGATAGGTTGATTTCCTTAACGATGAATCTTATGTAAATAGAAAGAGAGCAGGCCGGCCCCATGGCCTAGTGGTTAAGTTCACGTGCTCTGATGTGGTGGCCCAGGGTTTTGCCAGTTCAGATCCTGTGCACAGACATGGCACCACTCATTAGGCCACATTGAGATGGCATCCCACGTGCCACAACTAGAAGGACCTGCAACTAAGATATACAACTATGTACCGCGGGGATTTGGGGAGATAAAGCAGGAAAAAAAAAAAAAAGATTCCAACAGTTGTTAGCTCAGGTGCCAATCATTAAAAAAAAAAAAAGGAAAGAGAGGAATCAAAAATAAAATAGTGAAACCTCAGAAGATTGGTCTGCAGTTAAACATATAATTCAGATATTTCCCATAGTTGAAGAGAAGATTCAAAATTTTATAGATACAAAATTACCCAATGTTTCATTAATTTATGTCATACTTTATATTTTTTGAAAATTTTTAATTTAATGAAGAGCACATGTATTTATATTAATTTTGCTTTTCTTTCCCCAGAAAGACCTAATAGTGTTTTTTGAGGTCTGAGATCAAGTACATTCCTATTTCTTCAAGAAGTTGGCATGCTTGAGTTTGACATTTTATAGTTTTTGACTTACTTTTATGCTCTATATTATTTACTTAGTTTATTTCAATCAATGCTTCTTAGGAAGAGTTACTGTATTTTTAGATTATTACCTAATTTAAGTCCATGAAATTTTGAAAATATTCCTAGAAACATTGACCTAGAAAGAACGTTAGTGAATGCTTGATTCAGTATTTCTCAATTATTCTTCAATTATTTTTAATCCACATAATTTTTAACCTTGTGATAATCTTCAATATCACAAGATTGCCTAAGTCATGATTATGTGACTTTGCATGTGCAGATTTTTCAAGAGCAGGCCTAATCGGAATATATAAAAAGTAAGTCTGGCAAACTGGAAGGGGACTGTATAAAAATTAAAAGAGTTTATACACATAAACTGCTTAAAACAACAACTAACCATAGTCTGCACTGGAAAAACCTTTGCTGTTATTATGATCTTCTGCAGTTTTCCTCTATTCAAAAAGCTTCTTGGAGCATAATTTTCTATGATTCATAAATGAAAACAATATGTTCCTGAATAAGCTTTTTAAAACCATACATGCCCCACTCCATTCGGAATGTCTTCCTATAATTCTAATATGGAGTGATCGACTTATCCTTGTTTCTCCGGAATTTTCCTAGTTCGAGCATTGAAAGTCCCAAGTCCTGAGAACCCTTTCACTCCCAGGCAAAGTGGGATACTTGGTCGTCCTGCCTCTCAGATCTCCCTCCCCCATCTGCACAATCACTGCTGTAACCAGATTTCTTTGTTTTCAAAGACACAGAATTTGCACCAGATGCAAAATTAGACCCTGGCTCCTCTCACTCATATAGTCAAAAAATTTACAGACTCTCAGAGGTAGATGATAGGGAATGTTCAATGAATAAACCTTCATGTTGCCCCATCTTACTTTCGTGCCATTTTATGTATGTGTGGTTTATATGCTTGTGAGCATGCAGAGAGTATTTCAATCACTCTTATGTCTGTATATATATTGAAGTCAAAATGGGAGTCTATCACAGTTCATAATGTAAGGAAATCAGTGCTTAAAAAATTCTTAAGGACTGCTAAAGCTGTTACACACATGTCTATTTTACATTGCTTTTTATCCATGTTTCCAGATAAACGCATATAAATTAATTCAACCTGAGAATTACAACTGTAGCACTTCCATACAATGGAATATTGGTCAGCAAAGCAAAGGAACTAACTATTAATTACACAATAACTTGGATGAATCTCAAAGACATTATGCTGAGTGAAAGAAGTCAGTCTCAAAGCATACATATTGTTTGATCATACTTATATGATATTCTCCGAAACTCACGCTATAGGTATGGAAGATGGATCAGTAGTTACCAGGAGTTGGGAATCAGCGAAGAGGCTAATGATAAAGGGGTGGCATAAGGCAATTTGAGGGGCTGATGGAATTGTTTGTATCCTGTTTCTGTTGACAGCTTCATGAACCTTTGCATGCATTAAAATTCATAGAATTGTACTCCAAAGCAAAAAAGTCAATTTTACTGTATGTTAGTTAAAAACAAAATTAAAAACAAATTAAATATGTAAAATTATAAGTTCAGATTTCTAAAAAGAGGGAAAGAACTATGCCTTTAGATTTTCAGAGAGGAAAGATCTAACTTTCCAGTCCTAAATAGAATATATGGAGAGAACATTCGTCATTCAAGACTATAATTTCAATAACATCTTGACGGTGACATCACATGATGTGCTTATGAAATATCCACATGGTCATCTACATTTCGCAGCCCCTGTATATTTATGTAGGGTCTAGTGGGTCATTCATTTCAATGGTGAATGAGTCAAAATTATGTACGACTTCTGACCCAAGGCTGTTAACAGATGGATTAGGGAATACTCTCTGTATTTCTGTCTTTCTTTCGTGGGTCTCTACGTCTCTGTTCTGTCTCTTTCTGACTCTCTGTCTGTCTGTTTCTCCATTTATCATTCACCCCCTGAAGGACATTTGGGATGTTTCCAGTTTGGGGCAACTATGTTGTAGAACTACTAGAAATACTGTATACAGGTTTTTATGTCAACGTAAGTTTCATTTCTCTAAAGCAGATACACAGAAGTGGGATTGACGGGTCATAGAGCAAGTACATGTTTAAGTTTATAAGAAACTGCCAAACCATTTTCCAGTGTGTCTGTACCATTTTGCATTCCCGTAGACAATGTAGGAGAGTTCCAGTTGTTCTGCATTCTCTATAGAAATTCATATTGTCTGTACTTATTTTTTAACTTGGTCATTCTAACAGATGTGTAGCAATATCTTATTATGATTTTATTTTAAATTTCTCTAATGGCTAATGATATTGAAAATCTTTTCATGTGCTTGTATCTCAGTTATATTTTCTTTGATGTAGTGTTTTTTCAAGTCTTTTGCCCATTTTTAAATTGGATTGCTTGTTTTCTTATTCTTAACTATGGAAAGTTACTAATATATCCTGAATATTAGGCCTTTGTCAGAAATGTGCCTTGCAAATATTCTCTTCCCATCTGTAGTTTCTCTTTTTTTATTCTCTTAAGAGCATCTTTCGGAAAAGAAATATTTTAATTCTAATGAAGTTTGAGTTATCATGTTTTTTATGGATCATTCTTTTGGTGCCTTACCCCAGGTCACAAAGGTTTTCTTTTATGTTTTTATCTAGAAGCATTATAGTATTACCTTTTACATTTAGATATGAGTCATTTTAATTTTTTTAATAAAGTATGAGGTTAAGTCAAGGTAATTTTTGCATATAGATGTCCAATTGTTCAAACATCATTTGTTAAAATGACTGTGCTTTATTCATTGAAATTCTTTTGCACTTTTGTCAAAAATCAATAGCCATATTTGTGCAGGTTTATTTCTGGACTATTCTGTACCATTAATCTGTGTCTATCCCTTCAGCAATACCTCCCTGTCTTGACTATCACAGCTTTGTAGTAAGTGCTAAAATTCAGTGGTATAATTCCGCCAACTATATTCCTCTTTTTCAAAATTGTTTGCCTTTCCTTATAAATTTTAAAATCAGCTTGTCTGTATCTATGAAACATCTTTCTGTGTTTAATTTGCTCTTCTGGTTCTATTTTCTTAAATTAGAAACTTAGCATGCTGATTTAAGACCTCTCTTTGTTTGTAATATAAGCATTTAATGTTCCAAATTTCCCTTTCAGCACTGCTTTAGATGCATCCCACAAATTTTAGTATTTTCATTTTAATTCAGTTTGCAATATTTTATAATTTCCCTTGAGACTTCTTCTTTCACCCTTGGATTATTCAGAAGTTTATTACTTAATTTTCATGTGTTTGCAGATTCCCCTGTTACTTTTTTCTTACTGCTTTCTGGTTTAATTCTGATAGAGCATTAGAACATAGTTGGTATGATTTAAATTTCCTTTACATTTCTTAAGTGTTATTTAATGACCTAAGATGGGTCTATGTTGCTGTGTGCTCCACACATGCACTTAAAACTGTGTATTCTGATATTTGTGAGTAGTGTCTATAAATGTCAGTTAGATCCAATAGGTTGATGGTATTGTTCGGTTCTGTATTCTTGCTGATTTTCTGTTTATTGGTTCTATTATTGAGAAAGGAGTGTTGAAGTCTGCAACTGTAATTGTGGATTTGTCTATTTCTGTTTTCAGTTTTGTCGGTTTTTGCCTCAGGCATTTGGAAGGTTTCTTAGGTGCAGACACAAGTAGGATTGCTACCTCTTCTTAGAGAATTGACTCTTTAATTGTTATGTAATATCTCCTTTTATCTCTAGCAATGGAGAGCCTAGTGAGGAACAAATGCAACCAGTGACAACCTCAGGTCATCCTCTTAAAGCCACAGCTCTACCCAACAAAGAGGAAGGTTCTCCTTCCTCAGAGTTTTGGTTCTTGAGTTTCCTCTAACTATCAATGCCATTGCTGACACAGGTAACGGAGAAAAGAAATAAAGAAGTGGATTTCTTCACTCTTTGTGAGAGAAATCTCCTCTCACATTTCTTAAGTCACAGCAAGAGGGCTTCTCCTGGAGCTCTGTCTGTTTGTACCAGTGTTAACTTCTAGCTTTCCAGTCGCTTTACCTTTAGGCCAGGGACACCAGAGGGAGAAAAATTGGTACACCCACCGATTTGGTTGCCCTTCAAATTCTGGTGTTCTTCTCAATCTGCCTGCTGCTGTTTACTTTACACAGCCCTCAAAAAGCTGTTCCATGCATTTAGTCCATGTCTTCTAGTTGCAAACAGTGGATAAGATAGGAAAAGGGGTGCTTATTCCATCTTACCTGGAATCAGAACCCTACATGTTTCCCTTCCATTTATATAATGTGCTCCTGGAAGGCTGGCACCATGTGTTGTCCCCATTTTGTTCTCCTGTTATCTAGGACAGATCCTGGAACATAGTAGTATTCCCTGTAATATATGTTGAATAAAAAAAAAATAACATTTCATTAATGGCATATGATTGATAGACTAGAACATCAGGCAAATGCCAGCACAAATTAAATCTTCTTTGTGAAATTAGGATTTCTTTGAAAAGTCCCCAAACCAGCTTACATATACATTCATTTATTCAAAATGTAAAAATAATGCCTCTTACCTAATGAAAAGGAGAATAGGCAGACTTCCCACAATCTTGGAAGATTAGATTGAAGTCTAAATATGGAAAGTTGAATCTAGGAACTAATATGATTTGAAATTCATAGAGTAATGGTTTTGTCCGAAAGGAAACAAATGTATTATACCAGAAAAGAAAGAGATTTCTTATATCTCTAGCTAGAATGGGAAAGCCGTGTTAAACCAGGTCACCATAAAGTTGAGAGTCTGTTCTTACTAAGTGTTGTAGAGCAGCATATCATTTTAAATGTGAGTTAACTATCGCTTAACCAAATCATTGAGGCTGCAAACTTTCTGATCGCATAAGAAGCTACATATGTACAGCTGACCAACATTTGTGATTATTTCTGTTAACCTATAGTCCAGAAAGAAGTTTCATATTGGGTCATTTAGAATTACACTAAAGTTTACTAAATATCACAGTCATATGGGACATATATTTCAAATTGTCTGAAACTAAAGTCTTGACATACTTCGTTAATTCATATTTAGATTGTGCACATTATTATTGTGTGTCTCTGATGACATTTTTGTTTATCTGAATATAAATACTGAGCTTATAGAATAATTCAGAGTACTTTTTTGATTAAAAATAAAACTCAGGGGCTGGCCCAGTGGTGTAGTGGGTAAGTTCGTGCACTCCACTTTGGTGGCCCAGGGTTCACTGGGTCGGATCCTAGTCACAGACCTACACACTGCCCATCAAGCCATGCTGTGGGGGCATCCCGTGTAAACAGACTAGAAGGACTTACAACTAGGATATGCAGCTATGTGCTGAGGCTTTAGGGGAGGAAAAAAAAGAGGAAGATGAGTAACAGATGCTAGCTCAGGGCCAATCTTCCTTACCAAAATAAACAAATTTATTAATTAAATAAAATTCAACCATTATTCATCTGTGTGCTAACTGAAAGTTCCAGATTGCACTACAAAAAGCCACTAAAATGAATTAAACAGTCCCTGAAATTGTCTATTTACTTATTCATATGCTCAATAATTTCAAGTACCACACATGTACCAAGAAAAGCATGAGGTATATCCCCCCTTGGAATAACAATAAACAAAACCAAAATATGTTCTTGGACTCTTCTTTCAGAGCGTGTGCCACCTTCCCACAAGTGAGGTATGCAGAATGCAAAGCTGTCACATCCCTTCTCCTTAAGAATGATCACCTGGTAAAGGAGACTGGAACAATATCCACAGCAGCTCATTAAACACGGCCTTTGCTCTTCACTGTCTCTCAAATTAAATAACAAGAAAAAGACACACATCTGTGCGTGTGTATGTGTGTGTACATGTGTGCATATGTGCCTGTGTATGCATGTGCACTTCTGACTCTACTGTTATAATAGGTGCCACGTCAAAGATTCGACTTTGTTGTATAGATCTCATTACCAGACTGCTTCATTTTTTCTTTTCTCAAACCAAATGTAAGAAAGTTTACACGGAAGGGAAATAAGATTAGAGGTGAGGTTTGGTGGTTTGGAGAGTCAGAATTATTATTTTTTGATGCTTATTCGGTCAGAGATTTAACTGCAATTTCAAGTTTAGCTTTAAAGTACAGCGGCATAAAGGACACAACAGAAGTTTCATATGTTAAACGAAACAAATAGAGGAACATACTGATATTGTCACTGCTCAAACTACTTATCTTATATGTGACAAGAAGAGACCTCATCTAGAGATTGGGAGAATACCTCTGAAAATAACCTAACAAAATTAACTCTGGAAAAAAAATTTGCTGAGTCTAAGTGGTTGTGTCAAGTAATGAAAGAGCAACATTAGGAACAGGTTGGGTTTAAATTCCTGCTTTGCTAACTCATCAGCTCTCTCTTCGGTTTCTTCATAGATAAATTGAGGAAAATTATACCTCTGTCAGTTGCCCTTAAGTCATTGCATAGTTTAAATGAGATAGTGCAAATAAAGACATAGTATGTGTCTCATAAGAGCATTAAGTAAATGTTAATTGTCAGGACAGAGTCTAGGAAAAGAAAGAAAGGAGAGGAAAGGAAGATATTGGCAAAAAAGAAACAAACCCAGAATTAAAATATCCTCGTTTTAAGAGGGTGGAGTGTTAGCCATGCCCGTCTCGGACATGTAAGGTGGCTTAGTCCCTTCTGTTTAAAAATAAATGTGGGTTCAGACTCTAAGAAATGCATTGGAAAGCCCAAAAAGAAGCTCTAACCACAAAAATAAAATTTTTCTCTTCAAGTTAGGGGAATAAGTGGGCTGGCACTGGGAAAGACATATTTTGAAAGTCAGCTTTAAGGCTTAGCTGTAGGATTAGCATTCCTATTTGGGAGCAGATTCAAAGAAGAAAATAATAGCATGGATCTCTGCAGACAGGATGGCTGATAGGGATAGTCCCATTTTTCAATCTATAAACAGAATTGTGAAAGGCATCTAAATTATTCCACTTTAAATTACTAATTTCAGAGATCAAGTCATTGAACTAAATCCACACCCGCCTCAGGAAAGAGATTTCCATTTCAGAAGTGAATATCTACACAACATGATGCCCTAGGACGCTTTCCTCCCTTGAAATGTCTACTCTTCCATCTTTCACAACCACAAATTACTAGAAAAGTTGCCAGCTTTTTCTCTGCAAGATTTTTGGAAGAGTTTGCTGGCACGTTGTGTCCTATCTTGAGGTTTGCAGAAAGGGAAAGGACAGTTTGACAAAGCCATGTCAGGGAAATGTTGTTCCACCAGCAAGCCAAAGGTCACACTGTAATTTAAGCAGCAGTTGGCCTGTCAAGGCTAGAACGCTCCCTCGTCTCATCTCACAAGCAGGGAGAAAATCAACCCGTTAGCAGTCTTCAAATGGAAAGTTTAAGTCAGGACAAAAAAGTAAGCTAGTTTTACTTTTTTTTTTTTTTTTCTGGTCAGCAGACAGTTTTGTAATTGTTTTGTTGATGGCATAAGCCTTTTTTTATAATGTTAGTTTTTTATTAATGTCATAACATTAGACATTTAATATTTTTAATATTCTTTTTCTCTCCTTGATCTCAAAATATTTGGAAAACTGAATGTATACTTAGACCCCAGAAAACTCACTAGCAAGGGCAACCTAGATGTTGATTTTTTTTTAATTAATGAATTTTTTTTCAAGTGTACATCATTATATTTTGATTCCTGTGTAGATTACATCATGTTCACCACCCAAAGGCTAGTTGCAATCCATCACCACACACATGAGCCTAATCACCCCTTTGCCCTCCTCCCTCCCCCCTTCCCCTCTGGTAACCACCAATCCAATCTCTGTCTCTGTGTGATTGTTTGTTGTTGTTTTTATCTTCTACTTATGAGTGAGACCATATGGTATTTGACTTTCTCCCTCTGACTTATTTCACTTAGCGTAATAGCCTCAAGGTCCATCCGTGTTGTCAAAAATGGCCAGATTTCCTCATTTCCTATGGCTGAGTAGTAGTCCATTGTGTATATATACCACATCTTCTTTATCCATTTGTCTCTTATTGGCACCTAGGTTGCCTCCAAGTCTTGGCTATTGTGAACAACGCTGCAATGAACACAGGGGTGCATGTATCCAGGTGTTGATTTTAATGACTCCAAAGTTCAAAAACAACCCAAATGATTTGCATACAAAAACAAAGTCTACAATTGTTTGCATAAAGATAACTTTATAGCTAACCACTTGATTTAATTAAGAATCCATGGGCCTTGTTGCAGGTTCTTTGGAAAACTCAGCCGTAATTTCAATGTAACACTTTGAAAGAATTAGGGGGAAAAGAGCTTAGTACTCTGAGACCCATTCCCCAGTCCTAGAATTTGAATTGACCTAACTTTCAATTTTAACCTCACTGAAGAGAGCTGTATAGGCAAAGGCCTATCCTTTCATTATTAGAATTCTGTTTTGACTTACGTGTTTTTGCTGTTGTAGTTGGGGCTGTTATTTTAATATGTTATTAACCTGACTTTGCTGGTCAACTTGGTATTTAGCAATGCAATGGCTTAGGTTTTTTGACCTACATTATGGAAATAATCCATTCCTATTGCAAAGGAAATAATCTAACCATACAGAAAAGTCAAATCCCCAATCAGCAAACCTTAGTCATGCTGAATTCAATCTCATTTTAACCCATCTATCACTAGCACCACCGTCTCTGCCATGACTGCCGCCACAGCTTCCTACCTGTCTTCCTACCTCCTATCATCGCCTGGACTTTCTATTCTTCACATGGCAGCCAGTGATCCTGTTCAAATCTAAGTCAGATCATGCCACTTTCAAGTTCAAAACACTCCCATTGCCTTGAAATGGACTCTCAAGCTCTTCTTATTACCAACCAATTTTTATATAAACAGCCCCTTCCCACTCTCTCCTTTCTCACCTTACTCCAGGCCCGCTCACCTCCTTGCATTTCCTTGAGCTCACCCTCCTTTCCTGGCCCACAGTCTTTGCCCTTGCAAGCCCCTTGCCTGGAGGTTCTTCCAGCAGACATCTGCTTCTCCTCTCACTGCATTTCCTGCTCAGAGTCCTGCTTATCTAAATAGCAACCCTTTCACTCCCTATTCTCTTACCTTGCTTACTGTTTTGCTAATAGCACTCATTACAGATACTGTATTTTATACTTGTTTGTTACTTGCCTCCTTCCTAGAATATGAATTCTACAAAGGCCAGGACTTGTTTACAAGTATATTCCCAGTTCTGGACTAGACAGCACCTGACAAGAGAAGCTATTAAACATTTACTGAATGAAACAGTCTGCAAATGTAACCACTATTAACACTTTAGTGTGCATCCCTCTAGATATTTCCTACATACATGCAAACTATTTTTC